AAACAATTTCGCTTTTCAAGGATATTTTAATTCCGAAGATCTTTAATATATGCATCCTGTGAAAATGTTTACGCATTCATGGCTTCAACAAGGTTCAGGCATTCAAATTAGAACAATGGTGAATTTCTAACGGTAGCGGTTTTTGAGACACCCTGTATGCCAACATTGTCCAGCTGCGTTGCTATATACTTAAATTTTAAATTAATTGTAGACTTAAATTAATTGTGGTTTGTGAATGGAAATTTCGAGGGTAAATTTTATACATTCAATTAGATCTAACCATTGCAGCTGTTGTGAAAAATGCAATAATCGGCCCTCTGGCAGGAATCGAACCTACGTCGCTTGCGATTCCGGTGCAGCGCTCTAAACCGACTGAGCTAATGTACGCTCGAAATTTCCATCTAGTGAGATGGCCAAAATCCTGATATTTAAATTATTAACTAAATTATTTTACCTCCATTAGTTTTGTACACGTTTGACTAGGTTTACTCCAACAAGAGCTAGAAATGGATAGGTGAAACTAAAAGTAGCTGTTGTCAATACTAGATATATCTATCAAATAATGCTACATATGCACTTTACTATACTACGTATGAAGGTTAGATTATTTTCCTTAGACATAGACGTGCTTCGCCAGAGACAGATTTCAGAGAAAACCAAGGTATAACTGTTCGAAAATATTTGAAACACGATAGCTTAAATTGATAAAAAATGAACTCCGAATCAATTGTAACTTATTTTATATTCTAAATCTCAGAACAAAATCGACCACCTATCTTGGAGAAATCAGCGGTGGCTTTAAACTCACTTCGATCTTCAACCAGCGACCAATCAACGCAAGGGGAACAATGTGAAGTACCTTCTGCACATCATTATGAGTACGTCGATAAAAGAGCGTTTGCTCCGCCCAAGACTCTCACTTATGATTATGCTTTCGTTGACGAACAATTCAAAAATGACCGAAAGGCAAGTTTTGAACCACATCAAACAGGAGGAGATGATTATGTGATCACAAATGATGCAGGAAACACATCGTGCAACTCCGGAGACGATTATGTGATAAAAAATTATGCAGGAAACACATTGAACATCTCAGGAGATGATTATGTGATAAAAAATGATGCAGGAAACACATTGAACATCTCAGGAGACGATTATGTGATCAAAAATGATGCAGGAAACACGCCGAACATCTCAGGAGATGATTATGTGATCAAAAATGATGCAGGAAACACGCCGAACATCTCAGGAGATGATTATGTAATAAAAAATGATGCAGGAAACACGTCGAACATCTCAGGAGATGATTATGTAATAAAAAATGATGCAGGAAACACGTCGAACATCTCAGGAGATGAGTATGTGATCAAAATTAATTAAATGATACATGAAACACGTCATACATCTCAGGAGGTGATTATGTGATTAAAAATTATGTAAGAAACACATCATATATCTCAGAAAAAGATGATTAAGTGATCAAAAATGATACAGCCGACACATCGTATATCTATAGATATCTCTATAATAGAGCCAAAACTAGATACCGAAGACAAGGAAACAGATGATGACCATAGTGCGTCTATTATCGGCTGAAGATGTCACGGGATGAAAATAGACCAGTAATGTTAACAGTCACAATGTTAAAAGGTGTTCGGAGACTTTTAACAGACAAAACTTAACTACTTTAAACATATATTTTTAAGTATAAATTCTGAATAATTTGCAGTAAATAGAAAGCATCAGATTTGACTTCCGCATGCACGCACTACCACTCACTGGCTCAGTATGTATCTGATTGGTTAATCGGATATATCAAACGCACCTGATTGGTTAATGGTCCGTTATTGATAGCGGTAGTGGTAGTAGAAGTAAAATCTGAACTTCTCTAATATCATAAGTAAGTCCTGTAGGAAGTTTGACCGGAAAGTTTGACCGCTCATAGACGGATTTTCATATTTTTTTACTGGGGTGCCAGAAATTTTAGGGGGGTGAGCCGTGAGCAGGTGACTGAAGCAACACAAAGTGTCACCAAACCCCAGTAAGGTCTATATTCTAGGAGTGGAGCACTAGAGCCGCGAGGGGGAATCTAGAGAGCAGAAAACAAAGTATCCCTGGAAAAATTGGGAAAAAATCATGATTTCTAGCTTCGAAAAAAAGTTTTTTGAAGTTGTCATATCAATGGATTTGGCATGTCCGATTGTCCGTTGAGACCTGAGAGAGTTAAAGTTAAATGAACCTGTAAAAGTGTAAACCCAATAGGCCAATACACAATATGCTTTTACTTTTATAAAGTCATTGACATTGTGTCGTTTGAATCCGAGTACAATTTATGATGCAACTCCGATGTACTGTAAATAATATTGGGGGCGTAGAGATTTTAATCTAGGCAAGTCTATTTCCTAAAAGAATTAAAAACTAAAAATAATGTTCGTAAAAATTCCAAACGTTCCTTGCAAGCAAGCTATTTGCATGACAAGGCATTGCAAACTCTATTCAGGGGAGATAATAGAGTTTCAAAACTTTACAATTGCTCCAATAAACCAGTGAATGCAAGCGAGGAGCGATTAGTTTCAGAGTATTGCACTGTCTTCTTCTATTTAAGAGTGTACTCCTACGTTTATTTTGTATCATCTAGGGTTGGGCGATATTTCGATATTTTGATTTATCGCGATATTTTCAACCACGACAATTGTAACGAAGGTAGAAACTTGAGCGACGATATATCGAAATTATCGTCATGCTCGATGACTCAGATCGTGATATTGCTTCGCATGTGTGTACATAGCTTTTATAAAATCCTAAAAACTTCTTTGAATTCCTAGAAAATATAGTTTTTAAAAGAATTAAAACTATTTCCTGAATTAAATATGAATTTAATACAATATTAAAGCTAATATTTATGTATTAATCCGCTGAACAATGAAATTGCAATCTATGTTTGCGCTGTGTGCCCACGGCATTTGTGCCTGCGGAGACACAGTAGACACTGCATAGACAGTTCAAGTTTATGAACAGTAAATATTAGACAAGAAAAAGCCTGCTTATTACTTTAATTTGTTGTTTTATTTGTCATTGTTTTTATAACATTTATCGCGATATTATCGAATATCGTGATAATTTCCTCGACAATATCGTGAGATGATTTTTTTAATATCGCCCAACCCTAGTATCATCAACACTCTGCACGTTGGAGTGGACTATTTAATTTTTTTTATTATGCCAAATATTGGGGGGGGGGTTGAAAATTTTTTTGGAGGGGTGGACATTTTGTTTGGGGGGGTTATAGCTAATATTGGGGGAGGGGTAGCACCCCCACAAAATCCGTCTAAGGTTTGGCTAATAATTTATCGAAAATCATAACTTATTTGCAGTTCATTGTGTTCTAGAACTGTACAGAAATATTTTTCTCAATAAAACATTATCGTTCTCACCCAAACTATTGACTTTTATATAAAGTTAACATAATAAATTTCAACATACCCACATTATGTGCTGATGATGGAACTACAAGTGATATCGTCCCTGTACATTTTCGCCTGAAGTGGTCGAAGAGCGAATAAATATTCCACATTAACTCCCTCTCTCTCACAGAGGTTCTACACCTGAAAAAACAGAACAGATTCTCAAGAAAAGAAAAGAAAAATAAAATATATGGATTATAATCAAGACAAAATCTCACAAATAAACTTTTGTCTTGAATCAATTCACTGTGTTTGTGCAAGATAATGTACCCATATTGACTGATATTGTGATGCAAAAATTTTTTATTAAAATTACTTTTTTCATAAAGTTAACTTTAGTCAACTATACTAATTTTTGAAATAAAGATCAATTTACTCAAACAAATTAGTAAATTTTGCTCATAAATAAATTGAGCAAATGTATAGGTGCATTATTTCGCTCAAGTCTTTGAGTCAAAACTTTTGGCAGTGTTCCATATCTCGAAACCACATCCTTGAGACTCCCACAACTCGAAATGAACCGTGAAATTTAATCATATCTTTCGAAACCATATATAATATATGAGTACACAACCTCTGCAGGGTGCATGGAGCATTATATCGGCAAATACTCTTAATACTTTCGCTGTAAAGGTCTGGACTGATAATTATCAGTCTTTGCTTTACACTCAAACCAAAACTAAGCTATAATTAGTCGATTTGAGAGTGGCAGACTTAATTTGAAGGCAATATATATAAATGGGTTCAGCCAGCAGAAAAGGAATCACGGTCTATATGTTATGCATTCAAATTGTTTGCTTAGTGTTATGCGAGAGTAAAGGTATACATGGCTTCAGAATTTTTCGAAGTGCACAGGATATATATACAAACTTGAATTGTACTGGTAAAATTTGCGCAAAAGCTCAATGTAAGAATTATGGCGCCGAGTGCGTCAGTGCCAATTGTACATACTGTCGGTGTTCGGAAGGGAAGAATACGTTTATGATTAATGAAGATAACCAAAGGAAAGGAGAATGCAAGAGTGATGAAGAAATCGTACCAGAATCAGGTAAATGCACTTCAATGAGTTGTTTTTTTTGCAACAACATTAACCACAATAGCATATTCGTAAAGTATGTACATGCATTCTTAGACATTATTAAAGTGCATGTAATTAGAGTGTAAATTATATACATATTTTAGACATCATGAAATTTAAACATGTATGACATACAGATACCACCTTTCGAACACAGACCTTGTCATACACCCTTTTCATAAATGGCTGCCGATCAAAAATTCTTTTATGTACATATAAATTGGCCCAACTGGCCTCGTTTCTGAGTAGAAATTCCTTTGAAATCTTAACATGAGTACGAGGCTAGTTGGGCCAATTTATATGCACATAAAAGAATTTTTAATCGGCAGCCATTTATGAAAAGGGTGTATAGGGTTACAGAAATGAAGGAAATGCTGCAATCCATAAAGAAATTCAACATATTCTGGCGTATTAATATAGTTTATACAAAAAGTATTTGCTTCTAGAGCACTGAAGCATAGGAATTAATCACAAGGCAACATGTAGTTCAAAACCACTACACAACAACTTGCCCATATTTGATTGTATCTTAGCTATCTATTCCTTTGCATTTTAAAGTCTGTTTCGAAAAGATACGCAATTCAGTATGGTCAATTGCAAAAGACACTGAAGAATAAATATACAGTTGAACTAGTAGAGTAGGAATATATTTAAAGTTAGGGGGCTGACTAGTAAAATATTGAAAAAACGTGGCTCGAAAATACCTTTCCTTGCACTGGCACCAAATTAAGAAATTTGGAGAAAAATTTATAATTTATTTTGGCGGTTTGGATGACTTGGCGAGGGTATAATTGCCTGCATGCAAATTGGTATAATTGAAATACCTGACGATGCAATATATATGTATCGGAATATACGGATGTGGTTTGGTTCAGAAAATGCGAAAGAGTGCTCGATATCATATATAGATAGAGCAAAAATAGTCGTTTTACCTCCACAACAGCCTGTTTCATCCAAGAGGAATCATCAGGTGACTGACAAATTTCGAAAAGTGAGCTGCTTAAATGGGGGGAGGGGGGAACGGGGTGAATAGGTTTTCGGATCGTCGGATTTCACAGAAAAAATCGTTCGGATTTCGGATCTGGCGAATATTTTACACGGATTTGCGGATCTTATTAATACAGCGGATTGCGGATTTATCTAATATTTTGCCTTGGATTGTGGATTTAGCTTGCAATTTAGTTCGGATCCTGGATTGTGACTTCGTAGTAGATCTTTTAACGGATTCGAATTTAGACAAGACCATTGTCGGATCGCGGATTTTGCTTCGAACTTCACCACCTCCTTAAAAGTTTATGGTCGGAAAGTGGGCGTCAAACAATACATGCATTCCTCCCATTGTTATCATTGTTTACTAGAAATTTCTTTTTGTGATTACATGCATGCCGACACTATTTCCAATTTATAATAATTTTAATTTATTGTTAAGTTAATTTATTGTTAAGTTAATTTATTATTAAGTTGCATAAGAACTTACTGAAAAGATTTTCTGCGTTAGAGAAGAGCTGCGCCATCGCTGCATGACTTGAGTTGACGGCATCGACATGTTCACTCTATTAATATTTCAGGTAAAATATAAAGAGATGCTCACTTGCTTATGATCGTTCAAGGTTTTAAATTTTAGTAATTCTTTTACTTTAATAGTTATTAATACGATCAGTTTCGCCAATATTTTTCCATTGTCCTTTAAGGACAACCATGCTGTCTCCGTTGCACATATAGATATATAAATATTATTCTTTCACTTTTGACTTTATACGTTCGCTAGTAATACAAACGGCATCCACAAATTTAACAATTTTAAAAAGGATGCTTTTGCTATGTAACTTTGCTATATGTGAGAATAATCTACATCGTGTTTCGTTCGCTACTCTGGTTTAAATAAATGATTACAAAGCCCAGTCGAATTGTAATCAAGACCCAACGTTTCGACACTCCAGTCTAGTGTCTTCATCAGGGGTGATCTAAAATTGCAATCGTGAATTCTTAAATACCCAAGGGATGATGTCACCTGCCAATGGGATGCATATATTCCTCTGGCAAACAGGCACCGTCATCCCTATTCAAAGCATGATAACTTATATTTATATGCTACGCTTCTAGGCAAAGTCTTTGACCATAGCAATTGTTTGGGGTAATTACTTTAGAGTTTTCCCACGCAATCTCGTGTTTGGTGTAACATACATGTTCCGCTAAAGATGATTTTCCCTGGTCTAAAGTTGAAACAGCCTTTTGATGTTCTTTTAGCCGTGTACCAAACTCGCGTTTAGACTGTCCCAAATACTCTTTCTCGCAGTCACCGCATGGTATAGAATATACAGCATGAGTTTTTGCTGTTTTAAGAGAGTTGTTTTAATTTTGACTTTGCGAAAGTATGGCCTAAGTCAAATAGGGTTTTAAGGCAACCTTAATATTACAATTACTTGAGATTCTCTTGATTGGTTCTGTGACGCCTTAAAGGTATGGAACTATTGCATAACCCTTAACAGAGGTATCACCCTCGGAGTTATTTTGGTTCTTACAGACAGGTGATCTCAGGCAATCATTAAGAAAACGCTTTGGGTAATTGTTTTCCCCTAAAAATAATGTACATGTTTATAGGCTGCTTATTTTTAATATTTTACACAAGGCTGCCAAACAGTCTGACTTGAAGAGAGCTTTCACAAAATATAAAACCGGTTTTGCAAGTTCTCAGCCATGGAAATGAGATTTATATCGCGTGCCACCAGAGGGTCTCTTCGCCTCGCGTACAATAAATACGAGCGGGAATAAGGCGAAAGACACGAGAACCTCTGGGAACCAGGGTAGGCTTAACCTCCTTCTGAAAAAATGTCACTTATACACCAGTGGGAATATAATGTATATGTCATTTTTGAGTTTTAATTTTTCCAGTGCCGGATAAAGGATTTTGGCTTCAAAATCAGAACCTCAGTAAGTGCTTGAAACTAGTCGAAAATGATAAGATCATTGGGACAAGTTGTACATCGCCTACTCCTCCTGATATGCTTTGGATATGGACAAATAGAACAGAAAGACTTCTCATGAATGTTAAAACACTCGAATGTATGGAAAGACAGAGTTTTGACAATGGTAAGGTCTCATTGGAGCCATGTACGGTGACGATAAGGTGGCAGAGAATGACGTGCACCAAAGAGCAATATGGAATTAAGATTCGCTGGAAGGAAGTGCGCGATCCATTTCTGCATCTGGACAACAATTTTGACGTAATTAGCAAAGAGAATGGCAACCAGCTATGGAAAAGTAATGAAAGAAATCTTTGTGATGCCAATATAACTTACGCAGGTACAGAATGATAATTTATTATATAAAGTATAGTGTTATATAGAAATTTTAGGCACTCGGAAAAGTCGTATTTGACTCGCGATAAAAATATCGTAGCAACACACGTAAAAATACGATATTTTTACGCGTGTTGATACGATTTTCCAGCCAATGACAAGTCGCGAAATAAATTTAACTAACCAATCACAACGCTCTTTATAATTGATAATAAAATAAAAAATTTTCAGCAGCCATTTTTCAAATTGTTTCGTGCGAAGTTTTCAAATCAAAAATCTGAAAAACCATGAGCACGCGATTCCATGAAATTAATGAAAAGAACGTTGACGAGTTCAATGAAACAGAGGAAAATCAGAATACTAAAAGAAAAACAGACCTAGACGTCAATTGAATTCATTCTTATATCGCAAGTGCATGAAGCTGCAGGCCATGTCAATAGACCGCAGAGAATGGAAGAACTGTCGCCGTCTCAACTCGCTACATATTTAAGTAAATTTTTGCTGGCCGTAAGGGAAAAAAACGGAGAAGAATACGAGCCAACTACTCTTCGAGGTTTTAGATCCTCAGTCGAACGTTATCTGAAAAAACATCGATATTGCGAGTCTGTAGTCACGGGACAAAGCTTTGCCCGAACAAGAGAAACACTGAGATCGAAACAAAAGCAACTAAAGCGCGATGGAAAAGGAAATAAACCATTCGAAGCCGCTTCTTTGACCAAAGAAGAGATAGAAATGCTTTACAGCAGCGGTGCTTTTGGTTGTAATAGTCCTCAAGCTCTAATAAATACACTCTGGTACAACAACTGTTTTCATTTTGGATTACGAGGCGGGAAGGAACAACGTGATTTAAAATGGGGAGATGTTCTTCTCAAAAAAGATACGGAAGGTAAAGAGTACCTTGAGTATAACACTGAGAGGCAAACGAAGACCCGAACCGGTGAAAATCCCATGAATAGAGAAGATCGATCAAACCGCGTATGTACGAAAATCTTTCAGCTGGCCCTGAACGGAATCCCGTATTCTTGTATAAACTGTACAAAGCTAAACGACCAGAGTCGTATATGGACAACAATGCTCCATTCTATCTCGCCGTAAACCACGCGAATGCCAGTAAGGCAGATCTGCCAGGACTGAAATGGTTCAAACCTCAACCAATGGGTGTAAACAAATTAAACTCCCTCATGAAAGACTGTGCACAAATGGCTGGAATTGGAAAAGACAAGCGAATAACAATTCACAGCGCTCGAAAAACACTAGTTCAAAAACTACAAGACAACAATATTCCTCCACCCAAATCGTACAAATAACCGGTCACAAAAATTTGCAGTCAGTTAACAACTATAGCTCATTGAACAGCAACAGCAACAGCAACAGCAACAACAACAACAACAACAACAACAACAACAACAACAACAACAACAACAACAACAACAACAACAACAACAACAACAACAACAACAACAACAACAACACATTTCTTCGATCTTCTCTTCGGTGCCGAATGTGGGTAACGCACGATCGTCGCTCTCTTCGCAGGAGACCATTTAGTTCAGTCTGAAGGGCAATTCCATCACAGGGGGCATGTTTAATATCCACATATCTAGCGCTACGTCTTCTGCGTCGAACACAATGATAGGAGCTAGTCCGAAAGCTAAGAAACTACGACGACTGTTACCTCTTGAAAGTGATAGCAGCCAAGATGACAGCCAGGAAAAATGAACTGAAAACCGTTTGTTGAACATTATCTTTACTGTATATAGTCGTCCTATATTGTTATAAATTTTGTTTGAAAGTTATACCGATTTTGGCACTGTGAGTTTTGTAATAAATTTGTTTAAATTTTTTTCGTTTGAGTTATGGTGGTGTACAAATATTGTCATATAATAAACAGAACAATACATGAGTGCTTGGAAATACCAGATTTATTTCTCGTGTTAAACATGATATCTCACGAGTGAGCTGCGCTCACTCGTGAGATATCATATGTTCAACATTCGAAATAAATCTGGTATTTCCGCGCACCCATGTATTATTCTCTATTTATTATATAGTAGAGAGTGATATACTGAAAAATAGGCTACACAGTGAAAACGTCTTCAAACTTTGTATACTTACTAATTTTGAGGTGCTCTTTTTAATGATTTGGTTCATTTGTTAATTTGGGCAATTTTTAACACTCGTCCCCAGTCCTCTTATCAACTTCGGAATGGCTAATTAGACATGCATGGCCTCCCTGCATATAGTTAAGAAAGTAATTTACACCGTTAGTCATTGCCATCATTATAATAATTGTCATTGATTGTAATGTTGTCTTTATAGGTTGTTACCGTTTCTCTGATGGCTCCTTCATGAAATACATTAATTACAGCGAAATAAATTCCGTATACAAACTACGTATTTCTGCTCCCATTTTTAAAGACAATGATCAGGACTGCAAAGTAGGACAAAATTTTAAATTCATTCGAGATGGTCAGAAATGGGAGATCATTGAGAGACATTTTCCTGTCTCTATTAAAAGCATAAAAATCGATACAAGATTAGTAAAAGAATTACAGGTAAAAAGCCGCACTGTCAAGACATAGGCTAGGCCTAATAAAATTCGATTGAAGTAAACGACAATTCCTCCCGTAATTATATTATTCATTTTTATAAATGATTTAGTTTTCTACGACAGAACAATTTAAAGACTGGAATGGTTCACTTTTACAACTTTCTGTTGCTTGTGGAAATGAAGAGCATTGTGTCCTGTTTAAACTGGCATCTTTACCCGATGTATGTATAACTGTATAACATTAAAATGTGATCTGCTATATAAATTAGTTGCATGGATATTGAGGCAATACTTCCTTTATTTATTTGTATAGATCAAATAAACTTTATTCAACATCGATGGAATCATAGGCATTGACACATTTGTATATAGAATGGACTATTCCTCCTTTCATAAGTGTCGCGGAAGCACGGTTCTTCGTTATAGATTATCAATGAAAATTTACTTTTACTCCATAACATTTCTTTATAATGCAGTTGAAAGAGTTTCATTCCTTGGAAACGACTAACTATGAAATAACTTTTCATTAAACAGAAACTCACATGTACCGCATCCACTACTTCAAAACGGAACAGCGTTTTAGACTTAGGAAAGATATTTTCCTCTGTCCTCTGGGGAGGTTTCCCGTGTAGATCGAGAAAATCCGTGCAGGCATTCCCCTCTAAACTTATGATCAACTTTGCGAAGGAAAGATCAAATGAATTCTAAGAAGCATTACCAAAAACATGTTTCACTTCAGTTTTTATGACGAAAATGAGTTGCAATGACTCAGATATTTCGAAAAATTAGCTGGGATATCTTCCTTATCTAGGTATTCACCGTTACCCCTTCACCTTCCTCCACAACTACAAGAGAAACGTCAGGATTTGAAGAGACACACTACGTTGCTATTGTTGCAGCTGTTACTCTTTTTCTGCTAGCTTTGGCACTGGGAATAGGATATCAAGTCTACTATGGAAGACGAAAAAGGTAAACCTGCAAAAGATTATTCCAACCATAATTCGTTCAATCTTAGAAAGCTTTAAATCCTCAAAGTTTTTTCTTATTCTTATATTATACACTTTCTGATTTTCCTCTCATTATGGTTGAAAATTTCACATATCACTTGTAATTTCTTTTCATATCTGAACTAGTCCAATTGCATGATTATTTACTTATCAGTTTATTTATATATTTAACTTTGCCAAATAACATGCGCATATATATGACATACGCAAGACATATATATGGCCGAACACGCTACAGCTCCCGCTAATTACAGCGACCTATACACATGCGTGAAATAATATAGTCTCACACGTGAAATGAATTGGCCATTCCGAAGTTGACGAGAAGACTGGGGCGAGTGTTAAAAAGTGCCCAAATTAAGAGATGAACCACATCACTAAAAAGACCACCTCAAAAATGTGAAATTACTGATTAAAAGATTGTTTTTGGGACGCGCGTCCCCAAAAACATAAGTAACAGCACATTTCATAGTAAATATCGCGATTTTCGAAAGCTTATTATTCGAAGAGTATCCCTGTAAACGTCTTCAAACTTTGTATACTTACTAATTGTGAGGTGGTCTTTTTAGTGATTTTCTTAATTTGCATGGCACTTTTTAACACTCGTCCCCAGTCATCTCATCAACTTCGGAATGGCTAATTTTCACATATAGACCTTTACATTGACATGTGGTAGAATATGTAAGAGGCTCTCTTTGGCCTATCCAACTGTAACTTAGTAACTGAAGATTTGCTCTAGTGATATTTACGACGGGCCAAGATTTGGAAATGAAAGAAAAATCCTTTTCTTATTTCAGGGCACAAGTGGCAGAGAACAACAAATATGGTAGGAATAAAAGCCCTTAAAGCTGGTTTTCATTGTTAGGCGACAGTCGCCGATTTCTATTGTGCGATCGTGGGCGAGTATCGTACATGCAGGCCATCCGGTATACTCATGAGCATGTTCACATACATACCAAAATCAGGTATGCTCACGAGCATACAGTACACACATACATTCAGTAACAAAATCCGGTGAGAATGCTCATTTACATACCAAAATCCGCTATGCTCATGGGCATTCTCATATACATTACCGAAATCCGTTATACTCATGACTATGCTCATATACCATACATACCAAAATCCGGTATGGTCAAGGGCATGCCATTACAGGCTACATATCAGAATCTGGTATCTTCACGAGCATGTTCATATATACCCTGGATTCCAGAGCCTTCGACAGTAAATAATAAATTGAAATGTCGCGAAGGCTCTGGTTCAACGGGGCGATTCTTTGATTAAACCACGCCAATCTGTACTAAAACCACTAATTCTGTTTTGTGATTGAACCAGAGCCTTCGCGACATTTCAATTTATTATTTACTGTCGAAGGCTCTGGAATCCAGGGTAGTTCATATAGCAAAACGGCAGTCAATTTTCATTATAGTAGTTCTTCGGTGATCTTTGTTGTTTTCATGATTCCGCGAAAATTTGTAGCGTGTACTGGGGTCGGGAAAAAAGTTCTAGGATAGTCGCTGACAATCTCGTTCCCCAGCCTGCGATCCTTGGGAAGGAACGCGAGGCTCTGGGATAATCCGTTGCCGGAAGCCAGGAATCCTGGCTAAGATTGAACTACACATTCCATTTCAACGGCCAATCAGATTCCTCCCTGAAACGGATTATCCCAGAGCCTCGCGTTCCTTCCCGACGATCGCAGGCTCGGGGAACGAGATTGAGTCGCTGACAACACGCACAGTGTTTCCACTTGTTTTATTATCACTTGTTTCATTGACTACGACTACCACCTACTGTCGCAACAAAATATTTTTTAAATTTATCACGACTGCCTGCAACAATCGCGGATGAATTACGATAGTGTGTTTCATTAGTCCTAAGCCGGCTACGATGCTCACCGATCGTCACAGAATCGACATCGGCGAGTGTCGTCGACTAACGAAAACCAGGCTTTATTCAAAATAAAATGTAGGATTGCTATGAAAGTAATTTTTTTGAGCAGTAACAGCCATGGAGGCACGACAAAATCTTAAACAAATTTCATTCATAATTTCTATCAGTTCTAAACTGTTCTTCATACAGGTGTTTATAAATATGCATGCTGCATGCAGAAATCAAACTTCGGTCACTGACTGTAATAGGCAACGTGCTATAACACAGTGCCACGGACATTCCATAATACATGGTGGCTTGAAAACTTATGAATTTCTTCTTTAAATTGTAAAGTAATAGAGGGCGACAATGCTTAAATTAATGTTCAACTATGGTAGAGTATAAAATGCTGAAGGGTTTTTGTAGATGGAAATTCGAGTGCATATTTTATACATGTTTAGACCGAATGAGGAGCAGCTGCGAAAAATGATGCCAGTGTACGCGAGATGTGGGTAAATTCATGCATATACCCCGGTATGACATTTACCCAAATATAGCCTGAGCGCCTTATTTGCATTTTTCGCAGCTGCTTCTGGTTAGGTCTAAACATGTACACAATTTATACTCGAAATTTAGGCGCCGTTTACATTGTACCGTTTTCGTAGGGTTCTCATATTGTTCTCAATTCTCTGAGGGATCGAAAGAAAACAAAAGACTAATCCTACCGAACAATATGAGTACGCTACGAAAACGGTACAGTGTAAACGAGGCCTTAGATCTACAAAATATCTTCACCATTTTGTGCTATCGAGTAAGATGCCCAAAGTCCTGCTGATATGTTGAAGTATATATTTTTTCAGACACTGGATTTTTCAACTGTCCCGAGGCGATTTACGAAGAGCCAGATCCAATCTACGAAACAGTAACGGAAAATGAAACACCACATAATCAGCTAGAAACATCCACTAAGGAATATAGCTACCCCGATGCTTATATTATTACGAACCCAGTCTTAACGGAAAATGGGATACTAAAAGAAAAAGGACATGACGTGCCAGACAACGAACCAGAAATATCCTATATCCACCCCGATACTAATAGGGACACAAAGCCACTTAAGTCAGCCGTAACTGAAAACGAGGCGCCAAGGGAAGAAGACCATAAACTACTGAGAAACCAGCCAGGAAAATCTTCAGATACATATATCCACCCTGATAGTAACGCTATCGCAAACCCGACTTTAACAGAACACGATAAACCAACGGAGGAAGAATGCGAAGTACCGAGCAATGTGGAGCCAGAAATATCCAGTGGCACCAATGTCATCCCCAATACTAACACTAACAGGAACACAAAGCCAGCCGTAAATGAAGACGAGACACCAAAGAACGAAGGACATGAAGTACTAGGCACCCTGGAGCCAGAAACAGACTCCGACAAATATATCTACCCCGAAATATATAGGAACGCAAAGCCAGCCGTAAATGAATATGACATACCAATGGAATAATGTAAAAACCGAGCAACCAGCCAGGAAAATTTTGACAAATATATGTACCGCGACAATAAAAGAGACACAAAGCCAGACGAGACAGTACTAAGAGAAGAAACACGCGAAGCAGCGAGCAATCAGGCAGGTACAACCTCCGACACTTATACCCACCCGGTAGACAGTAATAGCATCGCAAACTCATGCAGGATCATCCTAACACGAGTATAGTAATGGCAAATTGGTGCAAGTAATGGTGCACACAGTATATTTGCTGCTAAATCAGTTATAACGTATTAAATGGGACATTCTACGAAACATATAAAATTCTATATCTGATGTACATTCTACCTGATGGACTAAAATACAATCTTTAAGTGTGAAAAAAAGTCATGTGATTGCAAACAAAGAATAAACACAGGCCCTAAGGCGGTAGTATAATATTTGAAAGTATAGGGACTAAAAAGTCCCTACTCTCAAATATTACACTACAGCCTTAGGGCCTGTTTATTCTCTTTGTTTACAATCACGTGACTTTTCATCCAAATGCCGGGCAATGAAACAACTTGTGGACGATTTTTCTCCGATCAGAATGGTTGTAGCAAGAAAAACTGAACGGTAATTCATCTTTTTTTCGGCTTTAGTGTAACTTTGGTGATGACCGGAACAGAAATAAAGATATTTTAAAAACTGGCCGTGGCCTCACGATAAAAATTTCTGAAAATGTTCTCTGTTTCATGTATTTTTATTTGATATCTTAGGTATAAGCGTAAAAATAGGGGCTCATACAGTTTACGAGGTTGTAAAATGCATGACTTGCCTCTATTTTCATGTAAACATTCGAAATTTTTCGACAGAATAGTAGCGACTGTTTCAGATCGAATGCACACGGACAGCCCGCCAGAGACAATGGCAGGGTACTGAAATAGAACGTCACTAAAAAATTCTGTATGATTGATTTAGATCATATCCATTTTCAACATAAAACAGTCATTTATTTTGTACAAACATTTGGCAATATTTACACGATTGTGCCTTTTTGTAAACACGCGTTGCGTGTATTCCACGCAGTTGTGTTGCTCACTTTGCTCGCGCATGCTCAGACAAATTTCCCACCTGTTACAACTGGCCTAAAACTTAAAATACTGAATCAATAAGTTTTAATAATATCAATATATTTATTGAAAAATAGCTATTATGTCAAAATAAGAAAACTTATAAGTAAAAACTTAAAACGCGAATAAGCAATGTTTTTATGAGCGACTGTTCATCGGTAGTTGCAAGCCACGGTAATATAAACAAGGTCAATTCAAGGTTTTATCGAAGCTTCAAAGCGATTGACTGTTAGATTTCCTTACTATTTTACAACTAAATAATGTCAATTCCTACAAATTTAGCTTTATTATAGCATTATTGAAAGTATAAAAAAACCATAGAAACGGTGAATTACTATAGATTGAAAATAATTATTAAACTATGATTGAAATTATCGACGTAGAAATGTAGAATGCTATTTCGTTGTATTAAATTTCAATAGTATTAATAATGAGAATTTTGTTTGATATTTTTAATATATTTCATGTTATTTACAAAATGTACTGTATTTTTGAAGTTTTGCACACAATATAATCAGTGTGAGGACAATGACTCCGTTTCAATTTGAGCATATATAAAAATATTTCAGTATTTTGATAGCGTATAACCTTCACGACATAAATATTAAACGGCTGATAAATAATCAGTACGAGCACAACGGTTCCAAACTAACAACAAATAACAGAATATAAGGTAAATTAAAAACGGTAAAGCTTTACCAACCTCGATCTATTTTCCTAAGGCGCTCAATTATGTAAATTTTCGGCCGGGAGTCAATATTCAGATGAAAATGCTCGTCGGAAAAACTCGGTATTCAGTCGCATTTTTAATTCGAATCTGTCACGTGATTTACCACCGCCCGTACACCGCGACACGAAATTTAGAGCTATAAAAACTACAAAATCGTGCAGCCAGGGTATTAACTTTCTCTAGCTATGACGCTAATGTCGATTCACTCTTTGAAAAACTCAATTGGAAAACACTTTCCTTTCAGCTTAAATCTCAATGGTCTACAAATCTCTTAATGGTTTAGCTCCCGATTATATGCACTCCATGTTTACTGATCGTGAAAGTGTAACTTCAATCCAATTGCGTGACACTGAGAATAAATTAGCTGTTCCTATGCCTCGCACAAACTATTTGAAAACAGCTTTAGTTATAGTGGTGCTCTGCTGTGGAACAGTCTTCCAATCGGGTTACGGCAAGCACAGTCCTTGACAATTTTCGAGCGGGCTGTAGAAGTCTTTTATAAATTTTAAATTTTTAATGGCTATTTTTAATACACGGCCCTCATGGAAAGCAGGTGTAGAGATAACTTTGTAATCATTGTAGTTTTTTGTAGTTTAGTTAATGTATATAATGTAAATCCTGATTAGTAATACCATGCCTAAATAAAATTTTAATAATAATAAAATAATAATTAATTTTCTTGAAAGGGCGTCTTTTATAACGGCACGACAGCAACAATTAACTCGGAGAGTGCAAGACGTCTTTGAGACACCCACGAGTTTAATTAAGTGCACTATGCAGTTTCATTTTCAATACAACCGGATGTTTTCCCGCAACTGTGTAATTAAATTACCATATACTTATTTTGCATAATTATATGTACACAAAAACTCGAGAGATTGGTGCATTATATATTAGGTAGATATCTTTAATACTTTCATGTCTGAAGAGCTTTTAAGCCCTGATTCCACGGGCGCTTTTTCTCGGCGAAATGCGAAATATTTCGCATGTTTCTTTTGAATTGTGAGCAATCAAGTAGAAATAATTTATTCGAGTGGTCGCAATTCAAAAGAAACAGGCGAAATATTTCGCATTTCACCGAGAAAAAGCGCCCGTGGAATCAGGCCTTTAAGGCTGTTTTCCACTAGGCGGAATTTTCCGCGCGGAGCGGAATTTCTCTTTGTCTTTTCTAATTAGTTCCACCCGAGAAATCACAAGACAAAGAAAAATTCCGCTCCGTGCGCAAAATTCCGCCTAGTGGAAAACGGCCTTAAGACTGACATTGTTTTGTTTCAATCTTAAACCAAAACTAGACTGACAAGGCTGTCGTTTCAATTTAAAAGAGTTTGATTGATTTCGTTGAAAGGCAAAGTAAATGGAGTTTACCAGAAGAAATAGAATCACATACTACGTTTTATTCTCTGTGGTTCTTTGCGTATGGCTATGCGGAAGTAATGGCGTAGAGAGTGGCTTCAAAATATTTCGAAGCGAACATGATATATTTACAAATTTGAAATGCAGTGGTAATGCATGTACACAATCTCAGTGTGGAATGTATGGTGCTGAATGTGTTAGTAACGATAGTTGCAAATACTGCATTTGTAGTAACAGTAGAATGAATACATTTATCAGAAATCGAAACGGCGACTCAACGAAAGGAGAATGCAAGAGTGAGGAAGAAATAGTACCAGAATCAAGTGTGTGCTCTTTAATATATTTTATAGATATGTTTTAGTTACAAACCTCTATAGCAGACCCGTACTTAATGCCGCGTTGACAAGCGTATGGCTAGGCTTTAGTGTTCCAACATTGACGTCAGTAAGAAATTGTTATACCAGTATTTATTGTTATTCGCTCGACGAGTATCACTGAGCTGCATGGAAATATATATGAAGTTACGGCAGCATTTTTATCACTCTATTATTTAATCTAATAAGTAATATTACAAACAAACTAATCACGCAACCTCGTTCCCAGGCTCTTTCACGCCTCTTTTCATAGAATGTTTACTATCTCATAATTTTTGCAAAAAAGGTTAATTTAAACGGTCATATAGGAGCTGTATAGACGTAATTGATGTTGACCTTCTGTTTACATCTTGGACATATCTGGTTATTATAGGCTATTGAGGCAACCTTTCTCTCTATACAAAATTCGAACAGTTTTGCAGTTTAAGAGAGGATGTCCAAAAAAATCAAACATAAGGCGGCCACGACGGAAAAATCGATTTTGCTCAAATTTTGCCCAGATATACCTTATTATATCGGAAAATGCACCATATATTTTTTTAGGCCAAATGCTTTTTTAACTTTGAGAAAATGCCGTTTTAACACGACCACCCTAAATCGCCATTTTGTCTGGGATGCGCTGATTTTACCGACAAATTTCACGACGACAACCGTTTCTAATCGATCTAAAACCCAAAAAATCTTGTTTTCGGTTATTCAAAGGACCGGGTACGTGACTTACAGGAAATCTGAGTTACTTTTAGGAATAGAAATAATCGTAGTTTTGGAGTACACTATCTTACCTCATTTACGATACCCTCTTAACAAAACCGATTTTCACCATGGGATAAAGCTCCAAATCGATCATGCTTCTACTAGTTGGCTCTTTAATAAACAAGCTTTCAATTGACGTAAATACTTCTTTGGGCAAATGAATACGCGATAAACGACAGCGCGTTGAAATCGTCCGTTTTTGACGTCTTGCAAGTCAAACGCTGTTAATTTACATACCGTCGAAGTAAACAATTTAATCAAGTATTTTAAGTATTTTACCTTTTGAGAAGAAGATATATTCTTGAATGGAGACTTTTTGCCTTGCTAAGTTTAAAATTGGTCCAGAAATCCCGATATATTTGTGAAATATCATCATATACAGGTATTTTGAGATATAATATTGTTGTCAGTTGCATGATAACTTCAGATCACTGTTCAATATTGTCTACTTTTAATAGCGCTAACATACAAAGCGATGAGCTGTTTAGGGATTATATTTGTTACTAAATTTACCAAAATAATTAGAACTACAACTGCTGTTTTCAGAGGTTTTGTTCCATTTTGTCCATATTAAATTAGTTTAAATTAATGTACCAGTTATGTTCGACTATAATGTTTACGAAGACGTAAGTTAATTATTAAGCAGGTGTTAGCGTGCGTGTACATGAAATGAACGCTTATAATGTTTATCAATATAAGGAGTTTTTATTTTTAGTTTACCAGCCCTTATATTTGAATAGCCGAATTCATATTAGGGACGCGAAACTCGTCTGTGAAAACCCGTCTGAATATGAATTCAGGGACGGATAAATTCGAATTTAAGACGAGTTTCCCGTCTAATACGAGTTTCAAGTCTCTAATATGAATTCGGCTAATGTGTGTTAAAACTGCAAGGCCTAGGTCATTAAATCTCATTAAAATCCCACAGACCACGATTATACGTATTGATTGTTTGTTGACGATAGTAGACGCGTACGCATGCATGTTGCGTAAGAGGTTATTTCGCTGGCCTCAGAATGACAAAACGTAACAAAGCTTTACACTAACCCTATTCCAAACATCAACTTTATAACTTAAATCCCTACCATAACCCTTGCTCGTTATTAAATAACATACCGTAGTAAATAATTTAATCACCATTTCTAAGTCTTTTACTTTTTCGGGACAAAAAACTACTTGAAAAAGACCAGGGCTTTAAAAATTATTTGAAGTAGATAGTTATGATAAGACAGGGGTGGCGCCAGGGCCGCCCTTGCACGGGGGGGGGGGCAAAGGGAGCAATTTTCTCCGCGACCCCAGCTCAAGGAGGGCCGGCAAATACAAATTTGCAAGGGGGTAAAAAGTTTGTCGACGGAGGGGTGGGAGGGCAATTATTGTGGTTCACCGGGGCCCCAAAGATATAATTGGCCCTGGGCGCCATATTTCACTGAGCTGGCCTCGGCTGCGCCAGTAATTCTCCGACGGGGGAAGTCATCGGTGCTCTCTTTCGTTCTTTGGCAATTGGCATTAAAACCACAAGAACTACCGACAAGTGACCAGGGCCGGATTAACGTCGCGCGAGGCTCGTGGCAGATTTTAGCGCGAGGCCCCCAACCCCCTCCCCACCCCCACTCTCAGCCTTGTTATGAAAACCTTTGAATTTAAAGACACACAAAATTGTTAAATAATTTTTTCAATATTTCAGTTTATTAGCATCAATTATAAACGAGACAATGGCCTGCCTGGCCCAGTTGTTGGGTCAACTTTGTATAAACAGGATCATAATATAACAGCTCAACGCAACTGGAGATTATATGCACACGAGTATTGCATATCTTCCCGGGGCCGTGCTGGGGCCAACTGCCAAGCCTAGGGGCCCTAAATTCGCGAGGCACCTAAAATGGGTGTGTCCCAATAGAAAATGGCCGTGTTCTCGTAAAAATGGGCGTGGCACAGTAAAGCGCAATGCCCCCATAAGCGCGAGGCCCGTGGCATTTGCCGCATCTGACACATGGTTAATCCCTATGGTTAATCCGGCGTTAAACGAGCAACAAGCTTCCATTTTTTTTAAACGCGACGTGTGGGGAGACAATAATAATTTCTGGTGTCGCACTTGGGTAACATATCTCAATGCTGTATTTTTGGGTTACTAGTACTTGTGGAATATAATAAGATCAATAAACAATAGTGTATCAAAAGAAAGTAATTTTACTGATTATCTTAACTGAGCATCAAAGTGAACACACATTAAAATAATTATTCTAAACTATTTGCTATAATTTGAGTTTGAGGTGGTAGAATATGTAATAAAATAACAAACCTTGTATGGATTAATGTTCATTTCACACGCACGCTATTAACAGCTGCTTAATAATTAACTTATGAATTCGTAAACATTTATACTCGATAGCATAGTCGATATGTAAAATGGTACATTATATGGATCAAACTGGAACAAAAGAACAACTGAAGTTCTAATTTTGGGAAATTTAGTAGCAAATATAATCCCTAAACAGCTCATCGATTTGTATGTTAGCGCTATTAAAAGTAGACAATATTGAACAGTGATCTGAAGTTTATATTATGCAACTGACAACAATATTATATCTCAAAATACCTGTATATGATGATATTTTACAAATATATCAGGATTTTTGGACCAATTTTAAACTTAGCAAGGCAAAAAGTCTCCATTCAAGAATATATCTTCTTCTCAAAAGGTAAAATACTTAGAATACTTGATTAAATTGTTTACTTCGACGGTATGTAAATTAACAGCGTTTGCTTGCAAGACATCAAAAACGGACGATTTCAGCGCGCTGTCGTTTATCGCGTATTCATTTGCCCAAAGAAGTATTTACGTCAATTGAAAGCTCGTTTATTAAAGAGCCAACTAGTAGAAGCATGATCGATTTGGAGCTTTATCCCATAGTGAAAATCGGTTTTGTTAAGAGGGTATCGTAAATGAAGTAAGATAGTGTGCTCCAAAACTACGATTATTTCTATTCCTAAAAGTAACTCAGATTTCTTGTAAGTCACGTACCCGGTCCATTGAATAACCAAAAACAAGATTTTTAGGGTTTTAGATCGATTATAAACGGTTGTCGTCGTGAAATTTGTCGGTAAAATCAGCGCATATTTTCCCAGACAAAATGGCGATTTAGGGTGGTCGTGTTAAAACGGCATTTTCTCAAAGTTAAAAAAGCATTTGGCCTAAAAAATATATGGTGCATTTTCCGATATAATAAGGTATATCTGGGCAAAATTTGAGCAAAATCGATTTTTCAGTCGTGGCCGCGAAATATCTCATATGTTCGATTTTTACTGACATTCACTCTTAAATACTTTAGTTCTGGTAAGGACGTGTTCATAACATATGGAGGGGGTTGTACGGTAATATATCAATACCATACAGTTATCACATAATCATCAATACATAGTCATCTTCCACGCTTAATGGACAACTTGCATGTTAGACTAAATTTTAATCAAAGCAGAGAAAAGGGAATCAAACACCACAGCTAAAAAGAACATACTGAAATTAGTAAAAGTGCAAAATTTGGTTGCGAAATGTTGTAGCACCAAAAACAAGATGGCGCTACATAATATGCCTATTACATACGAAAAAATCGAGTCTATGTTTGAAGAAAAGCTCGAGAAAAGCTTGCAACCTTTCACAAAACAACTGGAAGAAGTCACGAAAGCTATTCAGTTCACCAGTAATACATACGACGAAATTATAAAGCTTCTAAAAATTAACGAAGAAAAAAAGAAAAAACTTCTTGCTGAGAATAAAAGTCTTCGAGCTGAACTCTTACAATCAAAAAATGAAGTTAAAATGTTGAAAGAATCTGTTAACGATTTAGAGCAATATCTTCGCAGAGATTGCGTGGAAATTTGCGGTATACCTTTTAATAATGATCAGGAAGATACAAACAATATAGTTATAAAAGTGGCAGAAGCTATAGGAGTTGATATGGCACCAACAGACATATCAGTTAGCCATCGTCTGCCAAAAAGGGCTGCACGTGGGAGATCTGAGAGTAATCAAAATATTATTGTCAAATTCGTAAGACGAGACGTGAAGGAAAAATTTTACCATTCCAGAAAGAATCTAAAAAGTGTAACAGCTGCTGATTTTGGATATCTGAAGTCAAATAAGATTTTCATAAATGAAAGTCTTAGTCAGAGAAATAAAGAGTTATTCGGCATTTGTCTCAAGTTCAAGAAAAATCATGGTTACAAATATATTTGGACACAATCGGGTAATATATATATGAGAAAAGATGGAGACAACCCTCGAGTTTGTATTAAAGATTCTAAGGATTTGCAGGGGCTTTGATGAGAACTTAATTAAATCTTTATTATTCCTGGAATAAGGCAAGTTATTTATATTGATTTATATCGATTGAATGATGACATGTCATTATTGTTCAGAATGTCCCAATCCGATCACAGATAATAGTGATAGGGTTGGAGAATATACCTCATTGCCTCGCATAGAGCTTGCAACATCTGTGAGTAACATCGATCACCTCACTGATGTTGATGCTGATTTTCAATTACCGTCTGAATATAATTTTAACTATTATGGTACTCATGAGTTTCACACTAATAATCATATTAAGGAGTGTATGTCTGAAAAAAGCTTCTCTATTCTTAATTGCAATATTCGAAGCTTGTCAGCTAATTTTGATGCATTAGTCAATTTATTAACTGAACTATATTTTCCTTTCTCTGTGATAGGTATGTCTGAAACTAAAATTAAAGTTGATCATGACTTAATTACAAATATTAATATACCTGGATACAATTTTATATCACAACCTAGTTTATCTAATGCTGGTGGTGTAGGTTTTTTCCTAAGGGATAATTTAAAATTTAAAATAAGATTGGACCTTTCTTTAACTACTGAAGACTTTGAAACTCTATGGGTAGAAATAATAAATAGTCAAGAGCGTAATATGTTATGTGGTGTCATCTATCGACATCCTAGCTCTAATATTGATAATTTCATGAATTACGTGAATGGGGCAATTGAAAGGATTCATCGTGAAAATAAATACTGTATTATTTTAGGAGATTTTAACTTAGATCTCCTTAAATTTGAAACTCATCAGGAAACACAAAACTTTCTAAATACATTGGGCTATATTTCAACCACAAATTTTGCAGCCAACTAGAATAACAGATCATTCAGCTACACTTATTGATAATATTTTTCATAATTCGTTAGATCATATTAGTATCAGTGGTAATTTGGTTTATGATCTATCTGATCATCTTCCTAATTTCCTTATTATTAAAAAATACTCCGCTATATTCTCTAATACAAAATTTTACAAGAGAGATTATTCTAGTTTTGATGAAGAAGTTTTAATGAATGATATTCAGATGATAAACTGGAATGAAGTATTGCAGCCAGATTCCGATCCTGATAAAATGTTTGATTTGTTCTATGAAAAAATCTCGCAAGTTATTGATACCCATGTGCCTATTAAACAACTAAGTAAAAAAGAACTTAATGTTAGGATGAAACCTTGGATAACACCAGCAATTAGAACATCTATTCAAAAGAAAAATAGAATTTATAAAAAATATCTTAAGACAAAATCTATTTATTATCATTCACTGTTTAAGATTTATAGAAATAAATTGAATCATCTGATAAAGTTAAGCAAAAGAAATTATTATAATAATTACTTTTCTTCTAAATCTGGAAATAGTCGTGATATTTGGAAAGGTATCAAAGACTTGGTTACAACGAAATTACACAAACATCATGCTCCTACAATTATAAATGATAATGGTCTAGAGCTAAATGATCCCAAGGCTATTGCAAATGCTTTTAACAAGTTTTTTTCTACAATTGGTACAAATTTAGCAAGTAAAATTACAAATGTGCACAAATCCCCTATGGATTATATGATCAACTCCTCAAGTGATAGTTTTTTCCTTTCACCAACCACCGCTACAGAAATTGAAAATGAAATTTCTTATCTAAACAATTCTAAGTCTACGGGACCATTTAGTATTCCTACTTCGATTTTGAAATTGATCAAAAATGTATTATCTGGGCCACTGGCGATCATAATTAATGCCTCTTTCGCCACAGGCATTGTTCCAAAAAAAATGAAGATAGCTAAAGTAATACCAGTGTTTAAAAAAGGTTCATCTACACAATTAACAAATTATAGACCGATTTCTCTTCTATCAGTCTTCAATAAAATTTTGGAGAAGTTAATGCATAAAAGATTGTATAGTTACATTAACGAAAAACAGATTTTATATTCTAAACAATTTGGATTTCGTGCTTCATATTCCACTAGTCATGCTTTAATCAGTATTATTGACAAAATTCAGGTAGCAATAGAAAATCGCGATTCTATTTGTGGTGTATTTATCGATCTATCCAAAGCTTTTGATACAGTTGATCATAATATTTTGCTGAAAAAACTTGATTTTTATGGTATCCGAGGACTACCTTTTGAGTGGTTTACACCTCTTATTTATCAAATGGAAAACAATTTGTTTGTGTTGATAATGTATCTTCTGATGAGTTACATATCTCATGCGGTGTCCCCCAGGGTTCAGTTCTTGGTCCATTATTATTTCTTATTTATATAAATGATTTTAGCTTATGCTCTAAGATGTTAGATTTTCACCTTTTTGCAGATGATGCAAATTTATTCTATAAAGATAATACTTCAAATTTCCAAACCAATCTGAATAGTGAACTTGATAAGGTTTATGAATGGCTTTGTAGTAATAAGTTGTCTTTAAATGTATCTAAATCTAACTTTGTGATATTTCATTCTAGACAACGTAAAATAGATAACAATCTAGAAATATTCATAAATCATGAACGGTTAAATCAGGAACAGTCAATAAAGTATTTAGGGATAATGATAGATTCAAACCTGAGCTGGAAAAGTCACATTAATTACACTGCCAAAAAAGTAAAAAGAAATATTGGAATAATTTCAAAACTTCGTAATTATGTAAGTTTATCAACTCTTAAAAAGCTTTATTATGCTCTTGTTTATCCTTTTTAGTGTGAAGTTTCTTCGAAACTTCACAGTATTGTGATGACTGGGAGGAAATTCAAACTTATCAGTCAGTCAGTCAGTCATTCAGTCAGTCATTCAGTCAGTCAGTCAGTCAGTCATACAGTAAACTTTCCGGGGGGTGTATACGATTTATGTTCGTAGTGATTTATTGTGCTTTGTCAGTACTTTGAAGGTTATTTAAGCAATTTCAGTTAACTTATTTACATATTCTGTTATCCTTTTGCCAAGTTCACAAAAATTTTGTAGAATCGCTTTTGTTATTGTATTTTTTTGTAAATTTTAGAACATTCGCTTCTCATGTTGTGTAAAGGATCTTTACCCCGGAACACCCGATTTTTTTTAGTAGCGCAAATGCGCATGCGCTATCAAGCCGTAGATCACGATGGCGTGACGATATGCTGGGAAGGAGTGACAGTGTTGTTTTCAGATGTATAAACATTTCAGACGTGAATATTGAGTAAATTTTTGAAAATCTACGCAATATATAAATTGATCTTATGCATTACGGGCGTTCAATTAAGTGTCGATAATATTTAGACGGTATATTCATTATACAGAGCTGGGAAGGAGCTAGACCGCCTAGACAGTGCAGTCAACACTCAAGTGTATAAACATTTCAGGCGTATTAAATATTGAGTCGAAAATCTTTGAGATTCTAGGCATTCAATTGAGTGCTGATATTATTTTCACGGTATACTCATTATACGGAGGTACAGTACGTACGAAGAAGCGAGACAGTGTTGTTTTCAAGTATATAAACATTTCAGACATGAATATTGAGAAAATCTTTGAGATTCTACGCAATAATATAATATATAAATTGATGTTATAATTACCGGCATTCAATTAAGTGCCAATCGATATTATTTAAACCGTGTATTCATTATACATTGTTATTGACTGTAAAAGGTGCTACATCACAGAACTCAGTACAAAGAGCGAAAAATTGCATCAGATCAATAAAGCGTAAACAACTATTAAACAGAAGCGGGTGTTTGTACAGGCATTTACGAAGAAAATATTGCGAGACGAAAGAAATCAGTTGAGTCAGAGCTCCTTATTTAAATAAGAAAGACGAGGAGATAGCCAATGTGTTATCGCCAACGTGTTATCGCCAATCGCTTGGCTCGCCAACAAGATTTATGCAATGGAAGAAAAAAGCAAGGAGGTACATGTAGCCAACATGTACTGTCACGGACCTTGTTTACTGTCTAGCACAACGCCGTTGTCAACGGTGCAAACTCGTGTTCAGTGCAACGATAACTCTACCAGATCTT